ACGTCGATCTGACGATGGTAACACTCTTTTTAAGAATACGTTTGATTACAATACTGTCTACCGTCTATCATAGCTACTACTTCGTAAGACAACAACATCGTAACGCAGTGACGATAATATTTATATGCTGTCTCACCCTTTTCCTTGCACACCATACATCTGCGCCTCGGTCTTGGCCTGGCATCCGGTCCTCTCTCCCTCCTCCGTCTCTTCCTATTTAGATATATGGTTGAAACCTCTGGTGTCTTGTCTATGAGAACGCAGCCCACATGAATATTTCTCAGCTGCATTGCAGATGGAGCCAATGGAAGCAGCAGTGGCGGTGGTGGACATATTGGCGGCCATTGTCTGGTGTAGGTATCCAACTGCTGTGGAGTGTCTTGTACATCAGTTCCATCAACGCCTTCGATTTCCGGGCAGAGAGCCTCATTCAAGGCAGCCAGAATTTCCCTAGACTCTTGCGCATCTGCGAAAGCTTGACGTGTTCTTGCATTCCGATTGAAAGTGACACGATAATTCTGGAGATGCACTGGCAGCTTAGGATAAATGTTAACACCGTCTACCGATTTGACCCATTCCAGAGCCATTTTCCTAGCATCAAAAGTGTCGAGTAGCACAAGTTGTGAGAAGAGCTGACGCTCTGCAACAGTGTGAATAGGTAGCAACGGAAGCTTGGTTCCCATCACCCGGCACAAATACTGCATATCATGAGTCAGCCGCACATTTTTGTCAATCGGAATGTTTGAAAGTGCATCCGCCAACTCCGCATCATGCAGTGTAATAGTCCCAAATGTTTCTGGTGTGTTCTTGAAGTTGCTTGAATTGACCCAATTTGGATGCAACAAGACTCCATGATTGGCCAGGACCAGATTCTGCTGTGCGTCAATCTTCCAAGTGTCAAAATGCCCTATGCGAGGGAAGCCTAGTCGACAGAGCTCTGAACATCTTTGATTGTGATGATGTCTCCTTTCTCTGAGCAAACAATCTGACATCTCAATTCCAATATGCCATGTCCCAAATATTGTCAGAAGTAACTTGTGGGTATTCTCCACGTCGTTAGTCCCACGTCTGCAACAAAGAATATCAAAACCATAGGCATTTACCATTGGCTCTCCCCTTTTGTTGTACTTTGTAGAATAAAACGAGTATCCTGGGGGGTCAGAGTAGTAGCCTAGCAAGACTTCTTTCAGTATATTGTTGGCTTTCTTCCATGCAAGCTTGAATAGCGGTTTCTTGCTTCTCGAGTCAATCATATTACCAAAAGAAACAAAAACAGCTCGGATCCTCTGGTACAGCAACCTAGGGGGTAGGATCCGTCTTCGGACGCATGCCTTCCAGAAGGCCAGATTGAAATAGATGTCTGTGTCTATCTCGTTATCAGTCTTTCCGTCTTTTTCCTTCACTGCGCTCTTCACCTCTTTCAGCTGATCGGGATCAAACTGAAGAATGACATCGCGGAGTGCTACAAAATAGGTCTTTTTGGCCTCATGTTGCATTGGAACTTTTGCTTGATCCATTACATGGAAGGCATCACCAACAACAGCTGAAAACCAGTCATTGATTGTGTCTGGAGTTGGGGCCGTGTCAAGATGTGCACAGGTCAACAGGTTAAGCCCCAAAGCTGCTTCCTTGCCAAGAAGACACAGCTTGCGAAGTAGTGTCATGTCATCATTGGATAAATGGACAGCTTGAGCATCAGCATCGTTATCCAATAGATCCATTCCGGTTGGTCCAGTGCTGTCTTCCTCCTCTGTGGAAGTATCATCTTGATGAACCACGTGGTGTTGCACAGTCCTCGGTGACGGCGACGGTGCTGGTGGAGTAGTAGTCCTTGTTGTTCCAGTGTCATCATTCATATTCGGGAAAGTTCAGATATCATCAGATTCAATGTGCTTGTTGGGATATGACGAAATATGAGTTTTTACGTTCCAAAAGAAACTATTCAAGTACGAGGTTTTTGACACGTGCGATCGGACTTTGATCGTGCAAGATGTCGGGATTCGACGCAAGTATGCCGGACGCAAGTCTGTCGGACAATCTGTATCCACACAAACAGGAAAAGATCCTGTACAAGTGGAATAT